AAACCTACTTAACTTCCTGTCCTTGTATCAGTTCTGTAGGGACAAACCTATTTGACTTTCGGTATTTTGATCAGTTGTGTGGGGACAAACCCACTTAACTTCTTGACTTTGTATAAGTTGTGTGGGGACAAACCTACTTAACTTCCTGTCCTTGTATCAGTTCTGTAGGGACAAACCTATTTGACTTTCGGTATTTTTATCAGTTGTGTGGGGACAAACCCACTTAACTTCTTGACTTTGTATAAGTTGTGTGGGGACAAACCTACTTAACTTCCTGTATGTGTATCAGTTGTGTGGGGACAAACCTACTTGACTTCCTGTCCTTGTATCAGTTGTGTGGGGACAAACCTACTTCACTTCCTGTATTTGTATCAGTTGGGTGGGGACAAACCTACTTAACTTCCTGTCCTTGTATCAGTTCTGTAGGGACAAACCTATTTGACTTTCGGTATTTTGATCAGTTGTGTGGGGACAAACCCACTTAACTTCTTGACTTTGTATAAGTTGTGTGGGGACAAACCTACTTAACTTCCTGTCCTTGTATCAGTTCTGTAGGGACAAACCTATTTGACTTTCGGTATTTTGATCAGTTGTGTGGGGACAAACCCACTTAACTTCTTGACTTTGTATAAGTTGTGTGGGGACAAACCTACTTAACTTCCTGTCTTCGTACCAGTTGTGTGGGGACAAACCTACTTAACTTCCTGTCCTTGTATCAGTTCTGTAGGGACAAACCTATTTGACTTTCGGTATTTTTATCAGTTGTGTGGGGACAAACCCACTTAACTTCTTGTCTTTGTATCAGTTGTGTGGGGACAAACCTACTTGACTTCCTGTATGTGTATCAGTTGTGTGGGGACAAACCTACTTGACTTCCTGTTTTTGTATCAGTTGTGTGGGGACAAACCTACTCGACTTCCTGACTTTGTATCAGTTTTGTTTGTTATACTCACTTCACTCTGCGCTTTTGCGAATTTCGATTTGTACAAATCAATGTTCTTCCTTATTACTTGCAACGCTTCCTGTCGTGAAAACACGTTTGAACGTTGTGGCGGGAATATGACGTCGTGCTCGTTAACGGCTGCTTTGAAAGACGAAACACAACGAAGCAGAGTACATAGTACAAACTGACTATATATCCAGGAGGTCAAGTGTTTGTAACTGTGTGTGACATTTTGTACTGTAAATAAAGCAAACGAAACTTAAAATACTCGCATAGTTTACAAGTGGTAGTACAATTTACATACCGTAGTCTAGTCCTGATATTCGTTATCATTGGGTCATGGCCTTATTTAGATTCTTTAACACTTGCTCAAAGGGCAAACAAAAATACGTTCAACGAACCCTACCTTTATGATATAAATCCGAGTCCGCATGTACCCGTATCTGAATGCGGTTACTGTCAGCTTCATGAGAACGGTCAGCTCCATTAGGCAACCTGTATATGTATTGTCAGCTTCATCAGGAAGTACATGCATTGTTAGCTTCATTCATTCGGACACATGTACATGTATTGTCAGCTTCATTCGGTCACGTCGTCAGCTTCATGAGGCAACCTGTTTATGTAGTGTCAGCTTCATCAGAACGTAAGTACATGTATTGTTAGCTTCATTCATTCGGACACATGCACATGTATTGTCAGCTTCATTCGGACACATCGTCAGCTTCATTCGGACACATGTACATGTATCGCTATAGCTTTATTCGGACACATGTCATGCATTGTTAGTTTCATTCGGAAACATACAAGTATCGTCAGCTTTATATCTTCGTATTTGGTTGAGCAAACTGTTACTGGAGTACTGAATTTCAGGTTCAATATATAAAAATTACATACCCAAATACTGGTGTCTATTTGGAATCTTTAAATATAACATATATTTACGGTTTCCATGACATCATTCAGATAGCTTGTTGAGCCTTAACAACAATGATACATATGTATTGTCAGCTTCATGGAATCTGATGCTTCGTTTTGAATTGGTCTACTGCCAAAATACTGATTATTTTAATTTGGGCAAGGAAGCGTACGCGCGAACTAGAAATTGCCGTAGTACAAGTAGTATTAGTACGAGCTATTAACTAATTGATATGTACAGGGCTGTACCTTTACAATATATAAGATTTAAACGAATCTAAACAGTTCAGTTTTCAATGTTAACTACGTTAATACGGGGCACCTAAAAACCATTTAATTATCATTGAAATATGACTGATGACCAAGCTTGACTGATAAAATCAGAAGACTTTTAGCCAATGAGATCCTTATAACTGACAGCAGAACTGCTTGTAACGCCTGTCATATTATATATATATATCACAGTCTCAAAACTCGTCCGAAAACATGGAAAATCACATATGGCTGACGATGTGGCGGAGATATCACCGTCCGATCAAAAAAGAAGTCAGTCAATCATTTTGGACTGTTCTAAAACATACGGGACTGAATGCAACTGAATTCTGAAGAAAAATAGTTCCAATAGGTTAACTGATGAAAGTCCACTAGAAAGTGTGTAGTTTTATGGTAGAGATAAGGTGTGAGAAATTATGGGGGAGTCAGGGGAAGGTGGGGATTTCCAGCGTGCCAGATGATCGGGGTCAAGGTCAAGGTCAGTAGTACCAAACATTGGGAATTCCCGAGAACTGCGTGTAAAATCCCATCTGACGTCATTACTGCCGTACCTTGGGTAACACGATAATAGCTACATACTGTACCTACATGTTTGCTGTAGTACACGATAGATGGCGCCGATAGGTTACTGGAGGTGTTATTTTTCAGTAACACGGTACTGTTGCAAGTTAGATCGTGCTGTTAACGTGATTCGCAAACAATGGTTTATTTTCATCTTTTGTTTATTAAAATCGAGGGTTTCGTTTGATAAACTTATTCCTTCATCAAGTGTTTTTTATCTATTTTCTTACCTTTTTACCGTTCCCAAAGAGAAAAGAATTGCTACGAAGAAAATATAGAAAGTAATGTTTTTATCAATGCAATATTTTCATTTCTGCTGCATGTTTCTATATCGACACTACCAGGAGAAAGGAACACTACAGCCTAGAGATGCTATCATTCTGGTGAATACACCCCCTCCCCCGTACATTCTATGTTAGCATAAACTGCTTTACGTATTGAACGACCTTTTTCAATGATCACGTAGGTATGAACGCAAGTTGCTTTTAGTGTTTCTAATTTATATTTAATGTGGTTTTGCAAAAGATATTTTGGAAAAAACTTATCTATGTCGTTTTCCTATAAATGGGAAGAATTGCAATTCGGCTTTATGGAATAAAATTATCCTTGTGAAAGAGGAGTCAGATGAAGGTGTCTCTAAATGTCCATGTCCCGGGAGTCGGGCCTGGATGTCTTGTTTCACAAAGAAATGAGTCATCTGTTATACGTACATACTTGAGCACGCTCCAGACATCGTCCCAGGTTTTAGGTGGAGGTTAAAAAGACATCACCGGGTCACGGTGACACGTACAGCCCGCGACTTCGTTTCAGCACCCGTTTAGGATGTCCGGTTTAAATCCTCGAATCTTATGATACAGATAGATGTAGGCCGTGATAATTTTCTCATCGTTACAGAAAAAATTGCATTTATCAAGCATATTAAAATCTACAGCACAGTATTATGATCATTGAATTGGTTACTCGCGCAACACTGCCTTACGTCTTTGCTCCATGCGCAGGTACAATTCCACTTTTATTTGATTTTCTCTTTTTACGTACATTGAACATTATTTTGTCAGCTTCACGCAGTAAGACAAGACAGTTAGATTAAACCATGAAAGTTTGACCTTTGATACAGCTTTACAGTCGTCTGGTGGCGATTCCCGTTGATCAGAGTAATTGGTTTTCTGCAAAAAATACCACCAGTGTGATAAAATTAATCAGATTTATTTACTTAAAAGTAATAATAACATGTAACAGTTTTGGTATTATATAGATATGAGCCCGTCGCATCGCTGTGACATTGAAATAACACTACTTTGTCGCGCTTGTATGAGGTCCATACGACTACACGTAGTTATTGAACCGAGTGTGAAGTCACAGGTAATAAGTTGTTTGGCTAACATTATGTTAGCGCACCACGCATGGAAATCACATGGCCCGGGTACACCTTACACCCCACTAATACCAGATTTTGAAGCGTATCACAACATCATACGGCTGCTTCATATATGTACCTACCATACGTAGTGTGTATGTAGTCATTCTACTTCGCTACAAAAACCGTTTAATCTTTTGTACAAAAACAGTTTTAATTCAATACCAATACCAAAATAAGAAGAATGTGATAATAATCAGCGGGAATCATCCTTAACGAAGTCTTACATATGTTATGTCCTCCATATTTTACATTTTCCTGGTCTTATGATAATTCAAACTTATCTGTTCAAGTCAAATATATACTGACACGAATTTTTTCAGTCGCAAGGACTAAGCTAAATAGTGGTGACTAGACTTTTACGAGGGATTTAGTTTTTAAAGTTAACCAGTAAATCAATAAAAAAAATAATTTACTCACATTTCAAAGTGACAAATAGAATGTAAATAACTACATATTTAGGTAAAGAAAGTTTATAATTATTTAAAGTGTGCAATTTTATTTTTTGTATTTATGTTACCGAGGATTTATATTTTAAAGTCACTGTACTGTGAAACCAATCTGGAATTACGATACCATATTCTCGTATCAATTATATATAATTAATCAACAATGCCAATGACTACCCAAGTTCTGAGAAGACGTTTATTTGGAAACCCCAACGCGTAAAATATGGTAAACAAATTAGTGAGCTTACGCACGTGGCTTCCTCGTCAGTTGTTTATGTTTACGAGCCCGGCAGGTCAAAGGTTGAGCGGGCACTCCGTTGCTGAAGCCGTACTCCCAAAATTAATCCGCGCGGCATCGGGAAAAGAAAAATCAGGGCTTAAATCTTTTATTTAACAGAGATCTACAGCATTCTTCAATAGACTTCCAGAGGATAGAGCGATTGGTATCTAGATGGGAAGATATCATAAGAATTTAGTCGAATTGTGAAGGACTTTTTTTTGTAGTTTAGTGACATTGGTAGTAAGTTGACCGATTAGAGTCAGTTGTGAAAAAAGTTGCTCACAGCTGAGAAGTTGAGCACAAGAAGAAAATATCAGCATGAAGGAGATTGTGTTATTGCTGATGTCAGTAACCGGCGCCCTGGCCTCACAGGCGTAAGTAGAAAACTACATTTCATGTCACACTGTACATCTGAGTTTATACCGTAAGTAATTAATATCAATTAAAATCAAATAATTTACTCAGCGGTACTAGTCTGCTAGTGTTAGTCTGCAACAAGAGATCCGATAGTTACCTATAATAACGGTAAAGGATCCACGTTCTTATGAATTTTTCATCGTTATTAATTTCATTTCTATGTTACTCACGTGAGCTGTTGTTAAATTACTCCTTTGCACGGTTATTGTTAGTGTGCTTATTGAGAGCAATCTTTTTTAAAATTTTGCATAAACAGGCCTACTGTAGGTTAGACTACATATCGACAATGGATAGTAGACCGTTTCTTGGAACTTTGTGTGATTGTTCCTTTAATAATTAGCTAAAAAAGATAGCATCTGTTCAGGCAAAAATACATAATATTAGGTTATGGAAGTATCAGTGTTGTTTAAGTTAACTTATTATAGTGATAATTTGTGGAAGAATAATCTTTTTAAATTATCTTTTCCCCAAAAATGCTTGATTAAAGCACTATCTAAATTGTTATCCTTTCTTTTCTTTTTTATAAGATGATGTAAGAAGATGCTAACTTACACATTAATGTCTTGTATTTGGAGTTGTGTAAGAGCTACCTCCCTTAAAACCTTTTTTAAACGGGTGTCTTCTGAATATTTTAATTTTTCTTCCTTATCAACAGAATAATTATTTGAACTTTCATAAGTAATTTCATTGATTGAAACGTGTACATGAACACATGTATTGCAATACAAAGTGAGTAAGGTTTTATAAGGGACATAACTCTTAAATATGGGTAAGGTGGTATATACATACTTAACTCAAAATCAAATTTCTAGGAGGATTCAAGTTTCTAAATCAATAAAAGATTGCTCTCTTGACCATTGAAAATTGTCTTTTAACCAAATTAGTAATTTTACGTTGACATACATGGAGGCTTGCACCCAAACAAAGATCATTGAGGCAGAGATTATTGTGGCCACAAGCTGTATTGTCTGAATTACAGGTACTTGACAGGACAGGATGAGGTACAGTCTAGGCCTCTTCATCAGAGAATCTCCCATATGTCAAGGGCCTCTTAAACCTTTATATTTATGTACAATGTGACACGGTCTGACACAACAATCACCACTTGTTAACAGAAATGTGACAGGTTTAAACACAAAATGGAGGAATGTACGTAGTAAGACCTATTTTATCTGTGTTCCTTGGAACAGTTTTTCACAATAACTTGCCAGGTGGCTTTGATGTTTCACAATCCCTATAAAGAGACTATAATGTTTGTTACTGTAATTTCAGAATTGTAGGTTTATGAAAAAGTAGAAATAATTTAGGAATTCACATTCAAAATCTGGAAGAGTTTTATACGAAAGAGAATGTCATGATCACTTACATTCCTTATAAAAAACTGTCTCCTTTTTGAAAATTTAGCTTAGCAACAAATTGAATGCTTATATTTTGAATAGTAAATATTTTGGTCAAATTTACTAACAACTTCGAACTAAGCAAATGGGTCACATGCATATGTATTGTCATCTTTGACAACAAATGTTAGGTTTCAATCAAGAAATAAACACAATTTAAGTTTTATAATCTGCAAAAGTTTTGTTTTATTCAACTTGGAAAAAATCAATCCCAACACAGAAGGGATCGATGAAGTTCTATTGTAACCACGGCTAAAGTTCAAGGTAGCATTAACCCTGGTGAAATCTACATATTGTGTACATGTATATTTGTGGAAATGAAGAAATGTTAGTTCTGTTGTACATGTGCCATATTTATCCAGCAATAAGCCCATGCCTGGTTATAAGCCCGCCAATATCTACTGCAGTAATAAGAAGGTGCTATTTTTTGTTCAGTAATAAACCCACCCCCTACTTTGAATCTGTGATTATGTGTCAGCCCTTTGGCTTATTGCAGGATAAATACAGTATATTAACAACTTATAATTAATGCTTACAGAGGGTACCTGTTCACCATGCCCCGCCAGCTGTGGCAGGGCACTAAGGAGAAGCTGTGCATCACCAGGTTTGAAGAGGGGGATCGCCTGGAGTACAACCTTGACCTTGTACACACCGACTCCAATAGCACCACTAGATACATATTTGAATCTGGTAGGTTTTTTTGTATCAATGACAAGTATATGTGGATTTTGATCCTTAATTGCATTATCAAATTCAAATATATTGATGTTTTTTCTTCAAATTTCTCTCATTCAGGGTAAATGTGCGTATATACCGGGCGGTAATGTTAAGAATGCTTTTAGGTCAGATATCCTTGTATGGTGACAATGTCTTTTGCCAAGAGAATCCAGAATAATATATGCCATAGAAAAAATGTTTTTAACAGGAAACAGTTTGCATTGATTGCATCTGATATCAAAAACTTACACTTGAAAATAAGATGGTCAGAATAAATTGTCAGAGACTTAAATATATACACTGTACATAGGATATGACATTTGATGGGAAGCCTCATTCACTATTTTCTTTAAAAGAGTTTCTTCAGATTACATCTTTTTCTTATCTTTCCAACTCCCTTGATTCTTTATATCATTATCATGCGTGACAAGTCTGATTCCAATGAGTTTGGTTTTGATTCCACAGGTAGTAGTCAATGCTGGAATTTTGATGTGCCTACTTCTAGTGGGGACTATTCAGCCACTTTGTCTGGGAGTTATGGTAATGGGGAGGTGTTCAACCACAAAACTGAGGTCACAATCCAGAAAAGCAGTCATATAACCCTGATACAGTGTGACAAGCCAATGTATAAGCCAGGGCAGACAGGTGAGTTACACATTATCCTACCTACTCTGTCCCTACCCCAACCCTTGTACAGGTGAAGCCAGACAGGTGACACCTTATCCATCCCACTCTGCCCCTACTCCACCCTTGTACAGGTGAAGCCAGACAGGTGAGTTACACCTTATCCACCCTACTCTGCCCCTCCCCCACCCTTGTACAGGTGAAGCCAGACAGGTGACACCTTATCCATCCCACTCTGCCCCTACTCCCCCCTTGTACAGGTGAAGCCAGACAGGTGAGTTACACCTTATCCACCCCACTCTGTCTCCACTCCATCCTTGTACAGGTGAAGCCAGACAGGTGACACCTTATCCACCCTGCTCTGCCCCCACCCCCACCTGTGTACAGGTGAAGCCAGACAGGTAAGTCTCACCACCTATAGCTCAGACGGGCGAGTGTCCTGCTCCATCAACACCCTTCAGTTGTACTTGTGTCACCCTGGTAAAATATTAGCTGCTTCTACCGACTCTTAGCGAATTATTCTTAGCTCATTCAGTAGAGCAAAAAACTAATAAACCAGAGGTCCCGGGTTCGACCCCTAGAGGAGACATTGAAAAAATAATGATCTCAGTTACACTTATGTTGTATGTATATATACACCGGTAAGTTGTATGGCTTTGTTAACCCTTTAACCCCTATGCAACTTTAGTAAAATCTTCCATGCATTGATATGGATGAGTCCATTATGGTCTACAGTGGTGAAAGGGTTATACAGATTTTTTCATGGAAAAGCAGTGTTATTCCGATGAATATGATCTCCATATGCCATATTAATGAAAACTTAATATGTGTACAAGTCAAAAACATAAATACCTTATTTTAAATCTTGTGGTCCACTCATTTGTTACAGTCAAATTCAGAATCATGACGATTGACGCAATGATGAAACCAAAAACTGGAGTGGTAAGTAAATGTAGTTCGGTAACTTTAGTTGGTTTGTTGTGTTAATTACATTTATTTGTAAAGTACACCTGTATATTTATACCACACACATGAGAACATTAAGTAAATCACACTGAAGGGGATTGTGTGAGGCTCAACTCTTTCCAGATACTAACTTTTCCTACCATGCATCATGACCCTGATTACTGTTTCAGATTTCTATGGTCAGCATAGAGAATCCATCGGGTATCCGAGTACGCCAGTGGAGAGATCTTGATATGTCAAAAGGTAAAAATATCTTAACTACAATGTAGTAAGATATCTCCATTCCTAAAGAGTTCTGATATAAAATAACAAACACTTTCTATGAATAACGACTTTGACTTAGTACAATTCTTGACTCTTTTTAAATTAATAACCTGTGTGTTTGTTGACCTGAGGAAGGTGATATTTCCAAAGGCCAAAAAAGTATTCCATTTATAATCGCATATTACAATTCATTGTATAAAGTCATTGTTGTGTTCAATATAAAAAGTTGAAAATAGAAATAACAAATTGATTTATGATTTATAGGGATCGCAAGTCTTGAAATGGCACTCTCCCAGGAACCCACAATGGGAAAATGGACGATCTCTGTAGAAGTGGATGGGAAAAACAACAAACAGACATTTATTGTCAAGGAATACGGTAAGTTGAATTAATAAAGAATAGAACAATGGTCCTATGGATGTGCTAAGTGGGAGTACATATTTTTTGAAGTCTTTATACTGTATTTGCTGTAATTAGTACCCTTTGTCCTTTTTGGGGAAGAATTGAAAGTATCTAAACCTCTTCCTCAATTCTCCCAGACCTGACCAGACCAAGTCAATAATTTACATTAGTTGCTCTTTAAAGCAGAAATAAAGTCTGGTGATCATGGCTGAACTTCCTGAAACATTTGGTATCCAAACTTACAGCTACACTGGAATATATATACATTGTGTAATGTCCTTCTGGTATAATGTAGTAATGGTTGAAGGTTGTACAACTTTTTCTATCATTATTCAAATTGTATACCTAATAAGTGTGCCCATTAAAGCTGATTTTATAAGCACCCTGGGTGTTAATTGTAGTGATTACGGTATTCATGCTAATGACACATCAGGCCATAATGAGTTTAACCAATGCTATCACTATGAATACACTAGTCTTAGATTATGAGAAGTTCTTTTTACACAACCTATACAATTTTCTATGTGACGTTTCGATGACTAGTACGATATGTACACTGTCACCTTCATCAGACAAATGTCCAATGAAGCGTATGCACACAAAGGTGTAAATTGTGTACGTGTTGTCCATAAAACTGATGTTGATTTCGGCTACCCTGGAAACGTATGTACAAAATTAATAGTTGTTATATACATTGTATGTACCGAAATGACTCAATTCAGCTACACTTTGTTAACACTTGGTCATAGATGTGTGATAGTCTTTGAGCCCCCTCGTCTCGATTTATAACTGGCCCACTACAGTGTATCCAGATGGCCTCCTTTATCTGCCGTTTGAACAGATTGCTCTTTCTGTCTAAAACTTTGGTTGCGTAAGAAGAGCTTCTCATAATCCATGCTTAGCAACCTGAAGAAAATGTTTAGAAATACACTAGTCTTAGGTTCATCATGTGGTACATGTATGTGAATGAGTTTTACCATTAACTTTGGAACTCTGTATTGAGAATTTCGGGTTCTATTCATATTGATAAAATTATATTTGAGTGGTACATGACCTAGGTTTTTTGTTGGGTGTCAGTTATCATTAAGATATGATACAGCCAGTGGTGACAGGGTTAGGTTTTTAGTTGGTGTTTGTCATTATTTAGATAAATATTCAAATACTGTGTGAGGTAATATGTATATTGAAACAGGAAGGATACATCGGCATAGTCACAAAACATACCTGTTTACAATTACAATACATGGTAACATTTCAATACAGGGAGGGGACATCGGCATAGTCACAAAAGATACCTGTTTAGAATTACAATACATGGTAACATTTCAATACAGGGAGGGGACATCGGCATAGTCACAAAAGATACCTGTTTAGAATTACAATACATGGTAACATTTCAATACAGGGAGGGGACATCGGCATAGTCACAAAAGATACCTGTTTAGAATTACAATACATGGTAACATTTCAATACAGGGAGGGGACATCGGCATAGTCACAAAAGATACCTGTTTAGAATTACAATACATGGTAACATTTCAATACAGGGAGGGGACATCGGCATAGTCACAAAAGATACCTGTTTAGAATTACAATACATGGTAACATTTCAATACAGGAAGGGTACATCGGCATAGTCACAAAACATACCGGTTTACAATTACAATACATGGTATCATTTCAATACAGGAAGGATAAAGTAGCATAGTCACAAAACATACCTGGTTACAATTACAATACATGGTAACATTTCAATACAGGAAGGATACAGTGGCAAACACTGGGCAAAATTTGGCAAGTTGTTTACATATTTTATGAACAGATCTAAATAGGGCTGACATACATCTTTATGTTTATGGAACCGTTTGCCTTGCAGTACTACCTAAGTTTGAGGTGACAGTCACTCCCCCAAAGTACCTGTTACCCGATACTCCTTTGATTGAGGGAACAGTGTGTGCCAAGTAAGTAATATATACATTAGTGGACTCTGACATCGATTCATGATGGACTTTTGTTGAGGTGAATATGTGGTTATTTGAACCTTGGAAAGTGATATTGACCGAGACAAAGGTCCGTTTATCCAAATATTCACCTGAAATAAAAGTCCTTTATTGTTATGTAAGATTTAAAAATTGATATTTTTATCATTTAACTGAATAGAACGTAAGAAAATTGTCAGGAGAAAACTTCTGTATTTGACAGAGAGCAGTAATATTGAAGTGTTATAATGGAAGAGACCTCATCAAGACAATATTAATCTGCCGTTTCTAAAACACCTAGTCAATATCACAAATCACCAACTTCCACAAGACGATGATCTAACCAATGAGGATTTAAGGAAAAGTTCTCATCTTTTTATTTTTTTTATAAAAGTATATACTCATGATATTCATTAAATGTTAACTGAGTAATGATAAATGATTGGTTGAAGGTACACCTATGGAAAGCCTGTGCGAGGAATGATGGGGCTGGAGATTTGCTATGTGAATGAATACTACTACTATGGTGGAGGAAGAGGAGATACAGACGTCCGCCCATGTCACAAAAGTCTGGTTGAGGTAATGCTTCGAGCTTATATTCCATTGTTCTATTTTGGTGATATTTTCCGAGCATAAAAAAGCATGATGTGATAAATGTGTACCAGAAAAAATAAATATAGTAAAGGTTTGCTTGATGTTGAAGTCACAAAGAGATGATGTTACCCGATGTCACCAGAGGATTTATTCTGCTGTACGTTACAATGTCATAAATTATAATATATTCTTCTTTTCTATAGAAATTGTGAAATTTTGTTTGTTTGTCAAACTAGTGTCGTAACTTGGCCATTAGTTAAAGTTTTGTTGACATTATTAACTTAGCCATATAACATTGTTTTTGTTGACATACTAATATCTTAGCCATATATATAGACCATGTTTTTAAAGACAGAATCAGTGACTCTCAAATGTTACCATAGTATTAAGATAATAATTATATATATATACATATCATAGTGTAACAAGCTTTTAGCAAGTAACTTTAGGAATAGACCTAGCCCAGATTTTTCATCCGGTAATTACAAAATGAAAGTAAATTGTGTATATACTTGAGATGACCTTTCGTCTAAAGCATGTGTTAAACGTGCTGATTCTAATGTTGACAACATGATAGTAAAAGTTATGAAACCTCTTTCACTTATTGGATTTAAATCTCATAACAATATTTTATGTTTTTTACCAGATCGATGGCTGTTACGAGTTCTCTGTAAACTCCTCAGACCTAGCAATGTCATCAAACCGCTACAGTTTGTGGGGTAGGCTGTCAGTGAAAGCCAACATCACAGAAATAGGCACAGGTAAGATTCTCTCTCATAGTGAGAAATAATGTAAATATGTTATTTTTGAGGGTAAAAATCATTATTTTAGTGTGCTGGTCATGTTCTTGTTGCTTCGATTCTCATGTAGCTGTAATTAACCATAAACAAATAAGTTTTGATGTTGTTATACTTTTATGCATCTCACCATCCACTTTTGATGTTCAGTAAAACAGGTATATTTGACCTGAAGTGACCTGTGAAATTATTTTGCCATAAGAACATTTTGTAATATTGTTTAACAAATCTAAAGGAACTTGAGAAATAAGTTTTTTATAGGTAAGATTTTTTTAACAAATTGAAGGGACCTATGACATCAGTCTACTAGGTTATACGTATATAAGTGTGCCAACAGTATTAGAGTATAACTATCTCTCTCTCTAGGTATCACCTTATTTGGCGAGTCAAGCGGACCGGAAATGACGCAGACAGCTTACACTATAGAAATTACTGATGAGACTAAGGGATACTTTAAACCTGCTTTTCCATACAGAGCAAAGGTATTTATCAAAACTGGCTTCCATCAACCATGAAATATATATATCACTGACGTTTTTGCAGAGCTGCCAACTCTTTCGAGGTGTAATTGTTATGATTTTAAGGTCTGAATATTGCCTGTACAATTTTCCAAGCAAAATTACGATTTAAAGATTAAAAAAAAGAGTTCTTTTGTTAGTTGCACCATAATCTGGCTACCATGTCTGTTTTCAGTGTTATAATCATGAATAAGAATCACTTGAATGTTTTCTTCAAGGTCGAAATAGGCTAGAGCAAAGCTTTGAATTTATTGAGAACGCCTCGTTTCTAGAAATACAAAGGGTGGAAAATCTGCTGAAAAGTACCACAACATTGTTAAATCTGTAACATAAGCACAATAATTGACGCTGTTGTGATTTCATAAGGTGAAGAAAATAATGTGACAAAGCATTTGAAAACTAATAAACACATGGAAACAGTAAAGCATTCGTTGTGGATCCCAAAAATGGATTCTTACTTGGTGAAAGAAGGCTCAAAACTAGATAATTCTGTAGGGAATGCTGTATGTTTGTTACCCAAAGGTTTGTAGCTCTGTATACATTCGAGAATAAAATCTGTTTGTGTTACTATCGGGTAACTTTATTTTAATTTTGTCCCTTCGTCAAAAAATATTTGCTATGGTTTGTTGTGGTGTCAGCTTTGTATTGGTTACAAATGATGATCAACCATATATACTTACTGGGCTGTTCTTTGGTCACCAACTAAATGGTTTGTTGTAAAATAAGAAACAGTCTGATTCTAGACACAGAAACTTGTTGATGGTCCTTATCAGTGAAAGAAAGATGTTTTTTAATGTTTGCAAAAGGTTATATTTAATCATTTTGTTTACCAGTAATTCCAGTATTATTGGGAACATGTGAACAGATCAGTTTACAAGTTTAGAAATGTACTGACATGCAATGGACCTACTAGCTGAAAATCTGGTTTCATACATGTTTTTAAATTACATCGTTTTCAAGTGCTCAGTTCAATGATATCTAATTTGTACTTCAGGTGACGGCCAAAAAGCCTGATGGTTCTCCGGCAGCTGGGGAATTGATTGAAATAACTGCAAGGAACTGGGAATGGGACTTTTTCCAGCATAATAATTTTACCACCGATGAAAATGGTGTCATTATGTTTGCTGTGACTGATATACCACACAATGTAACCAGCATCAGTGTTCAGGTTTGTCATTATTTTGCATCGATCTTCTTTTCATACATACTTTTTATGCAATCATTTGTAGTCAATTTCATTTTGTTCAGTTAATCTATAAAAAAAATCAGCATGCTGCATGCAAGTATCATGTTATGACTGTGCTACAAGCCGAATAAGCTCGAACTTCAAGCTAAAGATAATGATAAATAAATGTTTGATGGGATTTTAGGAGGGAGACAGAAGATAATTCTGGAACAACATTGGATTTGTGGGATGTCCGCTATATTACCATGACATGCTTAATTCACGATGTCTATATTACATAATTACGGGGG